TTGGAAGGGCTTGGGCATTGGCAGCGTTCGTCTGTTGAATTTGTGACTTGTGGACCGACTTTTGGAAATTGGCGGTGGCAGTCCGACTGGCTTCGTAGATAACTGCACCTGTTTTCACTTTTCTTCTCCAAGCCGATCGATTTGACGCGAGTTTCTCGTTGTGTTGAGTTGAAGGTGCCTCACAGGGTGTGTCGGGCTTCCCTTATAGCGTCTCTGTTGTTCCCGTTGGTGGCAAACACCCCAGCGACATCACCGTAGAAGAACCACTTGAGTAGTTATTGGTCGTCCATCCGCACCAAGTGTCCGCTCCATCAACATGACGTGGATGCTGAGGATTCCCGTTCGCAGGAGGACGTTCGTGTCCGGGATCCTGTACTGCAATCGCAGCTTTAGTATTCTGCGGAGGCGGCTCAGATGAAAATGCTTCAGATTCCGTGTTTGGTTGGTGTAGACGGTCCAGGTCTCCTATCTGTACATGAGTGTCGCGAGGACGACGGTCTTGCAAATCTTCAGCTTGGTGTTTACTATGAAGCTGTGGGATATGATGTGGTCCGGCCGGATAATAGGCGATCTAACGTATCCCAGCATGTATAAGCTAGGATAAGGCGTGAAAGGCCAGATTAGTGGGAAGAATGTGGTGTGTACACAAAGGAAAGGAGAGTAGATTGACTTGGGAGAGATACGTCTGTTCATTAGGTTGACCGGGTCCCAAGTGAGGTCTGAGAGTAGTCGGGCCAGAAGACAGAGAGCTTTCATTGGCTAGGTCGGCCTGTGATTGTTTGGACGACGTGTTGTTTGACACAGTTGATGGACAACCTGGGCGGCCTGTGTCTCGCACCAGGAAGTTTAGCGACCACAACGACCTTGAGCTCCAGACAGATTGAGGCCGAGACCGGAAAGCCAGACATCGGGACATGCACCTGCTAGAGTACAAGGTCGCTACAAAGCCATGACCTGACTGGCTCTGGAGATCCGATGGCCAATCGTGTCTTCAGTTCTAGTGTTGCGAGAGATATTCCTTTACATGTCCTCTTCTCTCGTGGTATTGAGCGCACAGTCTTCCGCGAAGAGCAGGTCGTGTACTGTGGCCGTAAAAGTGCGTGTGGGGGCCTGCATACGTCGGAGGTTGAGGATATGCCTGTCAGTTCTGTAGGCGATGCAAATCACAGGGCACTCGTCACGGTAGACATCCACCAGCACGACAGAGAACAAGAGACTGAAGAGAGAAGCCGCGAGGACACAGTCCTGTTTCACTCCATTGGTCGCTGCGAAAGCTTCGAAACCGTCCCGTTGTCCGTGACGTGTGCCATCATCCTATCGTGAAGCCAAAGTACGATATGGGTGCACGCTCAGGGCAGCCGACCTTCTGCATGAATTTCCACAGTCCTTCGCGATTCATAGTGTCGAAGGCTTTGTCAGGTTCACGAAGGTAGTGTAGAGGTGGGTGCGCATCTCCTGGCACCTCCCCTGTAGCTGTCGAGCGGCGAAGATCATATCGGTGGTGCCGCGATGAAGACGAAAA